ATTACAGCCATGTCTCACTATGATTTTCTTGTGTAGTTTGCCTCACTTAACGCGAAAATCACACTTAAATTTTTTTTCATGGAAGCGTTTTCGAGATATAAAGTTATAAAGTGCTTTTTTAGTTCCACCCTTACATCCAAACTAAGATGTCCCATAAGCCAACTGAATGGCTTGTGCGGGTTAGGGGTAGGAACGGACCGACGGCTTAAAGTCCCCTCCGAAGGACTATACACAATGGACAAACACAAATAAACAACCATACCCAAGTGGGATTCGAACCCACGACCTCTCGGCTCGTACCCAGGAGCTCTGACCACTACACCACCGAGGCCGGTAATATGAATTTTCAATTGTTTTTTTTTTAATTTTCTGAGTTGTTTTGACGTTTTAGAGTATAATTCGAGTTCTAATTGATCGATCTGACCAAACAAGAACTAAAATAGAGCCCTCTACAACTTTCTCCTGTATAGTTTTGGTATCGGCTCAGTAGTTCGATACTGGCGATTTTATGAAGTTGAAAAAGTCATTTTGTTTTACGAAAATCGAGGTCGAAAATTTACATATCTTTCTAGGAAAGATAGAAATCGAAAATATAAGACCAGTTTGATTTATTTTACGTATAGATTATACTTAAAGGAAAAAAATAAGCTGCTGTTTATAAAAATCCATGGATAATGGCGAAGTTATAAATTTTTCAGTGGAAGACCAAAATTCAGTTTTTAGAAAATTTTTACGTTTTTTCTTCGTTTCATTGAATTATATAAAATTTAATATTGAACATTGATTTTTATTTTAAACATTAAATATTGAAATTAAATTATATATTGAATATTAAACAATAAATATTGACAATTGAAAGTTTAAAAAAAATTCTGCCATCTTTGTTTTTTGTTGCTTTCGTATTCCGTTTCTCGTATGAGGGACCAAATGTAATCACCCATCATGGCTGCATCCCAGAAGCCGTGACACCGCCGCTCTATAGCCTTCATTTGCTGGTGAAAACGTTCTCTGTGCTCATCACTTACGTCGCCCAGATTGTGCGGGTTATTTACGCACTCGATCTCTCTATTTCTTTTACTCATTTTACACTTTTAATTAACTAAATAAAACCATGATAAAAATACCTTGTTGAAATATCAAAAAATAGCAGTAAAATATCACTAGAAAACAAAAGAATTCACGTTTGCCGAGTCATGTCAAATTTAAATTTTGAATAATGTTTTCGGTGGAAAAAGTACGTAAAAAACTCAAAAAATTCCAATCATGCACTTTATTTAGGTTTTCGTTAAAGAATAAACATATTACAAAATAAAAGAAAAAAATAAAATAATAATCGTCAAGAAGCTGAATTTTGGTCTTCCACTAAAATATTCATAACTTCGCCATTTTTCCATGTAACACTAGCTTGTATTTTTTGTAAAAATGTCAGCTTCACGAAAAAAAATCAACCAAATCGATTAATTAGATTTCAAGCTATACTCAAAAACGTCAAAAAACGTCCGAAAGTTGAAAAAAAAAATATTCATATTTCAAAACGCTTCCATAAAAAAAATTTTTGAGTGATTCTCGTGTTTAGTGTTAATTCAGAAACGATTACTGCGAAAATAATGGTACTTTATATCTGGGGTAATTTTTGGGCAAGAAATCATCTGGTGATGTCAAAGTGGATAAATGATGACCATAGGCGTGCGAAACTATTTTTGTGGGTTTCTCGATCTTGGAATAAAATTCTTCAGATAATTTAAACTTAAAAAAGGTGTTCTTGTTATAACTTGTTGTTTTTCTATTGTCTATTAATTCGTTTGATAGCATTTCGTCTTTTGACCTCTGACGGTTCCAAAGTTTCATTTTCATTATCTTCAGACTCCTCTGATCTAATAGGACTTCAGTGTCAAACATGAAAAACCAAGTAACCTTTCAAATCGGCAAAACAATGGAATTTTTATACAAAAATAAATTGGGCAATATACACTCAAGCGATGAAAGAAAATCTCATCCCGAAATCATCGCAGTACATAAACTCAGCGTTGCATACCATAATTATCAATCGATGAGGGGACTGAATGGAAAAATAATCCCTTTGAAGTTTATTATTGAACGTCTGCCTCGTGCGTTTTATCATGTTGAAGAACGCAGACCAGGGAAGTAACGACAGCAATGTACGATTTTTTTTATTAAAAAAGTATCGAAACTCGAGTTTAAGCGCATCAAAAAGCATTGTTTCGATTCTAATAAAGCTTTGTGTTTTACATTCTCGCAGCCTGTTGAATATATGCAAGCACTTATTTTCATTCAAAACAGATTCGCAGATTTCTTCTTAGTTAATTCGACCGTGTGGATTGTTTTCCTCACTAAGGTCAACATTTGCACAGACGAGTCCTTGTTTATGTTAAATTTTCCGTAGAGATTCGATAAAGCGAACTGCATTGTTGAAATGAGACGAGCACAAATGTTGGTTGCCTTTAAAAATGGAGTCTTTGTTGTTTCTTTTTGTCGCTGGCGTTTCCTTTTGCGCTGAAAGGCACAAACAACGGCAGTCAAATACAGTCATCTTGAATAATAAAAAATCTTGATGAAGTATACTGAAATAGTCAATAAAATTGATTGATTTTATACGTGGAATACCCAGCAACATATAAATTATTTGAATCTGGAACGACCGCAATTTAAACTAATATTTATAGCTGGATGATTGGCTCAGAAGCATGCCTGAACTAATTTAGACTCACGATTGGCGTTAGCCTTGTTGTCTCGTTCTATTACAACGCGATATCATAGTTGTCTCCTTCTCTCGTATTGGCATACGCGAGGCAGGCACGCCTACATCCAAGGAAATAAGCAGGTGTTGTGGCAACACTGTTGCGGAATTTTCGATAAATTATACTTCACACGTTTTTCAAAATTCAATAATAAATGGTATTATTTTTCTTATAATAAATCGATTTAATCGAAATTATATTTATATTCTAAAATAAACATATTTTAACACTATAGCCATCTTGTAGCCATCGGAGTAACCAATAAAATAAATACAGATTCCTTTTTTAGGTTTGTTTTGGTTATAAAATTCTGAACTGTTTCTGATTTAGATTAAGAAAGATAGCTCTTGGCCCTATTCAAAATCGCAAATCTTTTGAATCAAAGTGATTTTCATTTCTTTTAAGAAATTATTTTTTTCTGTGTTCCAGATATATATTTTAATGTTTTAAAAAACCAATTTATGTTTTTGAGTTTCGCAATTTGGGTTAAGATTGTTTTGATATTTTCTTTGTTTTTTTACGTGCAAAAACAAATTCAAATACATAGAAACATTAGTCCATTAGTGATAGGATATATCCAATACAAATAATTGTACAATAATGTAGGAAGTTTGTCTGACCCAATTATTAGGATACCCAGTGATTAATTAATTGAATTTGCTGGTTAACACTGTGTGTCTGTTGTATGTTCTGCTGGGCACAGGCCAAAAATACACCTTTCTATCTATTTACATTTCCCGTTGGTATTTCAGCTATTTTAGTAGGCATTTTATTAATATTTGTAGCAGAATAATTATTGTTTTAATTTCATTGCACAAAATACCAAATGGAAAAAGGCAAAATAAGAAAAGGGTCTTGATAATCGCGAAGAAAATAAATCTTGTCAACATGTCGCCGCCATGCATGATGAGTTTTTTAGAGCAGTGGTTAAAACTTGAAAAAAAGTGGAAATTTTTATAGAAAAACAAAATTGGCTCCTTTAAGAGCTGTTAAAAGTTGTTCTTCTGTGTTGTTGGCAAAACATCCGGTTGATAATACTCATTGTATTCCTTCAACGTCCTGTTCCAACCAAGAGCTAAATCCGCTTCATTTTATCACAGCAATTAAGACAATTTTTAGGTGTTATCATCTGACAAAGCATCATAGCCCAGATGGCGATGCTTTTGATAAAAATACTACAAAGTTGTTTGATGCTCGCACAAAACTCCAATTGGTTTTATGATTGCCTTGAAAACTGCAGTCATAGGGCTTATTTGTTTTAACAAATAGTTGTAAACACTTTTTAAAGCAATTAAACTTTTTAGCAGTTGTTTGCAAGAGTACATTGTTTTATAACTGAAACAGCCATTTAAATTAGAAAATATTTAAATCAAAAATTTGTATAGAGCGCCATCTATGAAACAATAGGGGAATCTGTGTGTCACCGTCAAATGTCACATTTTTATATTTTATAAACACAGATTATAAAGGTTATAAATCGAAATGTATTTCTTGAAAATTGACAGTTTTTCACAGTGAAAGTAAAGAAAATGCTTTATGAGCACTTTACAGTGGAGTCCGTGCCCGAATTTAAGTTATAGTTTACTGCCGGCGAAATTAAGGTCAGTACAATGTTCATATAAACTTTTCAAATATTGGCGTTGAGAAACTATTTAATACTTTTGTATTTTTGTATTGAGATAATAAAATAATTTTCACATTTAGTATTATTTTACAAGAAAGGCACTTTATTTTAACGATTGTATGACATTTGACAACTGTCAACTAACTTAAAACTAACTTCAGCCCGTGACTAAAAACCTGTTGCTAACTTCAGCCCGTGACTAAAGCGCCATAAAGCCACAACTTGTCAATGTGTATTTATCAATAAATGCCTATGCTTGTGATAAAATACAAATTGTCAGATAAAATGTGTTTACGACAAAAGCAAACTACCTCCTTAAAACCTATTGCACTTAGCAAGTTTTATGACAGCTGTAAGGTAGGTTTTATGGCTGCTGTAAGGTGTGCCTTAAGAGTAATACAATAAAGCAAAGTTGTTTTGTGGCTGACACACAAATTGGTCCTAAGGACAGCGATAGGATTCTCCTTTTTAACCCTATGATGGTTTTATAGAAGCTGTATAGCTGCTGTTAAAGCAAATTACCCTTAAGAGTAGTATATGGAGCCCTTGTATACCTTAAAAAACCTATTTTGCGCTGTATTTTAGGATTTTATTATTGTTGGTTAGTAAAAAAGTACCTCTGAATGATGCGGAAGCGCTGCTGTTGGTTCTTCTATCTTCTTCGGTTATTGTATCAAGAACATCATTGACAAGGTGTTCTTGTTCCAAATCACTGTCAGACGATGTATAGTCACTGGAACTGCTCCCATCATCATTAATTTTTTTGGACTTCATTAAATTTGATTTTCTATTGTACAACCAGTTTTGTCTTGCTATGAAGCCAGGTTTGGTCGTGTTTGAAGAAGCCTATGGAATATTTCAGTTTCATGGTTCTAATTTTTAAGTGGGGAACATTTGGTTTCCATACTTTACGCTAAAGAAGCATCGGGAATTGTCAACAATACATTTAAATCAAAAATCTGTACTCAAGTGAACTCTAACTTATTTTGTCCATATAAAGTGTTCAATGTGTGTACTTGTAACACCCGAAACAGAACCATTGTAACACCCAAAACAAAGAAAATTTTTATAAAAAGTTGGTAAATATTATACTTTTGGAGGCCTCTAATTTTTGGGAAATCTTCCTTAAGAAAATTCGCTGAATTTCAAATAAATGTAAAAATGGTCAGGCCATAGAGGCAGAATCGTGAAACACCCGAAACGCACACCTTTTGACTTATAAAATCGTTATCCTAAATGCTAAACTGTACTAATTTTACAATTTAGATAAAACAGCTAAAAACGTAGAGAAAACGGCACTTTAATTGCTAAAATGTTATTTCAAAATACATAAAAATGTAGGCTTTGGTTGAACAAATGTAACACCCGAAACGATGGAATGACCCATATAAAACATAATATAATACCCGTTTTTGTTTTTTTTCGTTGAGTGGAGACTTTCTCAAACAACGATGATTTTACTGAATTGAAATGTTTAAAATTTTCACGTAAATCATTACTAAAATGTGTATTTATTTTATCTAATATATTATATCTATAGATACAATTTATATTTACAGTGTACAATTTATTTCTTCATTCGGATTTCCACTGTTTATTGGGCTACTAGCGATGCTTCTTTAGCTTATATGAATTAAGGTGGTTCACAAAATTAAAGTTATTGTTTTAAGTAGTATATATGTTACGGCTAATGTGCAAACTTGGATAGTTTATAAACTAGCTGGATAGTTTATAAACTAGCCAAACTGTCAGCTATTTTAATTGAAAACATATTTTCAACTAAATTAGCTAATTTACTTGAAATTATTAGGGAAACTAAAATAGCTGGATAGTTTGTATACTATCCAATTCAGTTTGGCTAATATGAAAACCAAAATTTCTAGTAACACAAAATAGCCAAGCTTTAGCTAGTTTGTAAACTAACCTACCAATTCTCTGGCTAATTTATTAAAAAAGTGAGGTTACGGCATTGTTTTTCGTTTTGCCGGCTTAACCGGATTTGTTTTGTGCATTTTAACGTTATTAAAATGAATCATAGGCTTCCTTGTTCGAACGCTTTCTTGTTAGAAAACTCAACAACACAACCCTACCGACCCCGCCCCATTGCCCCCCTCCCCATTAGTCAAATGGTCAAAAATGAGAGAAAAAAACCCAAACCAACCCAAACTCAACAACACATTTTCAATTAAAATAGCTGACAGTTTGGCTAGTTTATAAACTATCCAAGTTTGCACATTAGCCGTGACATATATACCGTCTAACAACGGGGTAAAAGGGGTTATTAAAATTAGTCAATTTCGGAAAAACAAAACAAAATCAATGTGTGTACGAACCTGCACGATATTCTGTACATCTTCAGCGACACTGTCGAAATCTTTGACTGCGGATTCGAAGTTTCGGTCTAGCAGCAAGTTGCTGCTATTTTTGGTTCCTGCCGCTGAGTTTTGCTGCTGCCGCTTGGCTCGCGTCTCTCCGTCGAACCTCGTTGACGTTTCGCCGTCGCTTTTCTTCTGTTTTTCCAGTACTGCCACCACGGCGGCCACTACTTTACCACTTTGAAGTTCACGCATGTTTCATTCAGAACTTTCTTTTTATTATTTGCGTTTTTGATTTTACACTCTACACACTTTAAAGGGTAACCAACTAAAAATTAATATTTTGTATCTTATAAATAACTAAGCTACAATTTGATTGCTGCATTTAAACATAAGTAATATTTATTTCAAACGCTAAAAGGCACAGATTTTTTATGTTGTGTCAAAGCTATTTTTATTGTTCAAACATTTTTAAAATTTGAAATTAATACAAAAAGTATTTGCTAAGTTTGAAAAAAAATCAACAAAGCTGTAGGATGTCAACTTCCATCTAGTCAAAGAGAGCAACGTCTAATGTAGAAGTAAGAATAAGAATTGCTTGAATGTAATTTAGTAATAAATTAGTAACAAAAATTGTTCATTAAAATATTTCATGAAATAAATTTTATATTATATAGAAGCACCTGAAACTTTTTTCTTCTAAATTCTAAAGACAAAAAAATAATTTATAATAACCTTTATCCTACCAAAAAGTACGCCACTGATCGACTAGGAACTTTAGGTTGATCTGGTTGCCTAATTTAATTTATTATGTTATGGTTGGTAACAACCAGCGTTTTCAGATTCTGTCTAAAAAAAGTTGCAAGATTTTGTTTAAATTTAGCTTAATAACAAAAATGACAAAATCAACACACAATATAAATACAATTAGAGCTTTAAGGGCACAAAACTTTATTAAGTTTTTATTCATTTTTTGCAAGAAAAATTTTTAGTAACAATTTTTTGCAAAACTTCTAATGCATATTTTTTCTTTATCTGAGAACATTTTTCAGTTATACCTTATGTCAAAAGGTATTCAGTATTTTAATATAACATTAATTACATAACACCCTGTAGAATAATAAAATTATGAAAGTAGAGCAGTTTTTGAGATATAGTCAATATCATATTATTTTTATAATTTTTGACATTTTTGGATTGAGGTGACATGGAAATTGACTGCTAAATGTTCGGCATACAAATTGCTATTGACTAGAATTGTTAGTGGCTGCTTTTTCGCTTTGACAATTAGTCATTTTTGACTCATTCATTTTTAGAAAGTTCATATTCTCCGTTTTCGTAAATATTTTGAAGTAATTTTAACGTTATTTTTACGTCAATATGTGGTATTTAATTTGTTCTTATTACGTTTTTTTTGTTATTATGTAGTAAAAATTACGTATAAATTGTTCCACATTTTTGGTAATTTTCGTATTTGTACTGTTATTTTACTGTTTACTGTGGTCTTATTACCCTAGTTTACTCTATAATTACGCTCTCCGTATAAATGATTAGTTAACGCGCGATACTGCTAGAAGTTCATATGGCGCCATATATATTTTAATTTCCAAAAATGGAACATGCAAACTACATAACTACATAACGAGTTTCATGTAAAACGTCATTTGCATAATTTATAATACTTAAATTGCAAAAACCGTGTATGTACTGGTTTTGTTTCCCAAAAGTATTTTGTTACCTTCGCTTCCCGACCGTAAAGTCTTTCATGTCAGTGTATTTTTTTAAGCAAAAAAAGTATGTAAAATGAATGCTTTAGTTGAATTCAGATTTTAATGAGTGTATAGAAAAGTTTATAAACGAGGTGCATACTATACTTTTTCTACGACAAATACTTATTATTATCTTGAAATGATTTAAATCAAAAATTTGTATAGATCGCCATCTATGAAAAAACAGGGGAAACTGTCAAATGTCACATTTTTTCATTTTATAAACACAATTATAAAGGATATAAATCGAAATGTATTTCTTGAAAATTGACAGTTTTTCACAGTGAAAGTAAAAAAAATGTTTTATGAGCACTTTACAGTGGAGTCCGTGCCCGAATTTAAGTTATAGTTTACTGCCGGCGAAATTAAGAGCCAGTACAATGTTCATATAAACTTTTCAAATATTGGCGTTGAGAAACTATTTAATACTTTTGTATTTTTGTATTGAGATAATAAAATAATTTTCACATTTAGTATTATTTTACAAGAAAGGCACTTTATTTTAACGATTGTATGACATTTGACAACTGTCAACTAACTTAAAACTAACTTCAGCCCGTTACTAAAAACCTGTTGCTAACTTCATCCCGTGGCTAAAGCGCCATAAAGCCACAACTTTTCAATGTGTATTTAAAAGGTTAATTAGTGTTATGGAAACATGTACGATAAAGGGCGCTTTAAAGGTGGGAGTAGAAAAAATAAATTTTATATTTTATTGTCTCCAATGAGATAGTGATTATCTAGTTTACATCCTACAGCTTTCTTGAGTTTTTTCCAACTTATAAAATCTGTTTGAATAACTTTTAAATTTTTTAAATGTTTGGCTTGTTATTGTTTTTTATTAGTCACTGCTATTTTTATCAGTAATATTGTTTACAAAACACTTAATTAATTATTAACAACCTGAAAAATTGACGCCACGAAAGTGAAACACCCTGTATATACTTTTTGCATAAATATTCAAATGTATGTGCATACGATTTAAAAAAAATATGTACATAATGAACAAATGCATTCATGTAAATTTTTGAATCGCTTAACATTGCTTAGCATGCTTTGAAATTTTTTTGTTATCTATTCCCCCAATAATTTACTGCCAGTTTTATCGCCTGTAAGTAATTAGATCTATCTTTTTACTTATCAAGTAAACTTTTAGATAGTTTGAGAAAGTTTTCAAAAAATATTATTTATGGGTAGATACATGTTTAATGTTTTATATAAGTAATTTTATTTTGCATATTTTGCTAATGTAAACATTTTCAAGGCCAGACGCCAGGCGAAAATCCTAATTATGTAAGGTACATATACTCGGTATTATCCAATTATTAATATTAATAGAGTTAAAAATCTCTTATGCCGCTCCATACATTAAGTTTAACCAATTTGACATTGGGAAAGTTATTTATAAAATTTCATGCAACGGCTTGGAGTGTGAACTCAATTTCAAAATATTTACGAAAACGGAGGATATGAAACAAAGGCGTTTTTTGAAGGTGTACCCTAAAAATATACTTTAATTTTTTATAAGAAGTTTCTGAAAATAGACTCATGAGTGTTATAATATAAAATACGAATTTTAAAACATTTGGTTCACATTCTTTAAGGTTTTTGTATAAAAAAACTCTTTTAAGTTGTGAATCACCCTGTAGTTTTAACAGGAAATGATCCAAATACTTTTAATTAAATATAATAGGTATTTCTTATCGCATACACATTTATTTGCTAGATTTATGCATGACTAATTTATAAAATTTATAGCTAAATTTATCAGAAAGAATATTTTTTTAAACTAATTTAATTTAATTTTGTATTCTTAAATAGATCATTTTTTAGTAATTCTTATAAAATCACAATTTACATATATAAAATTGTGATTTTTTAAGAATTACTAAAAAATGATCTATGAATACAAAATTAAACATTTAAGTGTAAAAAACTTGGCAACGCTGTGTTCTTCCTGAGTTGAATATCACACATCTAAAAACGGTTGCTATGGAAACAGTTTGACAAATGTATTTACGTCAAAAAAATTAAACTCTAAATCATCATTTTTAACAATTTTTTTCTTTTTGAAACATTAGAATGGTATATTAAAGAACTAATGTCATAAGAATTTGTTCGAATTTTACTTTAGATAGTTGGTATCACAGTCATTGGTTTGACAGTTAATGTCAAAATCGATTTGCCATGCCGTCCTTAATTTACCTATTTACAATAAGCGGCTGTTAATGTTAAAGAAGAAAAAAAGGATTTTCTTTGGTGTTAAACAAAATTTATTGCCAGAAAAGTCTCGTAAGTACTAGAAAAATCATAAAAATATTATAACCAATATGCAAAATATTGAACTGTTTAAGTAAAGCTAACCTATAAAATCAAAATTTTGGGTGGGATAAAGTATCTCATTACAGTACCGTAAGGGGTGTTATAATGAAGTCATTATGAACGCAAAATTGATAAAATTGTGTTAAAAACCTAAAAGTTTGATTTTAAAAACCTTTGAACTGAAAAAGTATAATTTTCTGGACACCCTGTATATTGTAGGGTGAACGATAGATTATCAAAAAAAGTAAACAATGAATTGTTTTTTTAAATACATCTGACATTCCGATATGGTATCGATTATTTCATCTTATAATATACACAGTGTTGCCAAGTTTGTTATTAATTACTCGTCAAAAAACGTAGTATAAATTATACAGGGTGTTTGCTTACATTTTTTCGAACAAATATTTTCATTTGAGCTTTTTAAATAACCTTAAAAAAAATTCATTTGTTGATGTTTTTGATTTAACACAAAATGGATGACAATTCCAAAAAATTCATTATCATAATTAACGGGGATAAAAAGGTTTATGTAAAAACAAAAGAACGTCGATTATTCGAAAACAAAAGCTAAAATAAAAAATATTTATTTGACTATTTCCCTCGTCTTAATTTCCACCAAATTACAAACGCGCAATTTGGAATTACAAAAGGTTTCTAGGTGACTATTTCCCTCGTCTTAATTTCCACCAATCACAAACGCGCAATTTTGAATTACAAATGGTTTCTAGGTGAAAAAACTGTGTGACAGCACCTGTCAGCAGTTTATTCGAGTTTACCCGCGGCAAAACTTGACAGCTGTTGTCACCAAAAATTGCAATTTATATTTTAATTGTTAACTGTTACTCATGAAATAGTCTTGTTAAATACCATTCGGGCATCTAATTTTTCCTGTGAAAAAAATCGAAAAAACACAATGCTAAGTAATATTTTTGAACAAAATGCATTCGTGCAGGTGCAAAAATCCTCCTCTTCGACTCGGATTTTTGTTGCCATCAGCACTCATGCTTCTTGTTAAAATATTACTTAGCAACGTGTTTTCTTCGATTTTTTTCGAAAAAATTAGATGCCCTTATGATATTACTTACGAAAAAAATATTAGTCTCGGTTAGTCCAGTTTGAGTATAAACACTAGACTGGGCCAAAACAATCGACTATTTTTTT